GTTCTTTTTTTTTTTTTTTTTAATTTTTTATTGTTGGCTGTTCAAAACATTACATAGTTCTTGATATATCATATTTCACACTTTGATTCAAGTGGGTTATGAGCTCCCATTTTTACCCCATATACAGATTGCAAGACTCTTGAGTTCTGATGAGCTGTGTGACCTTGGGAAAATTGCTTTTTCTCTCTGACCTGCTTTGTTTTTAGTAACTTGTATTTTGTTTTCATACAGAAAAGTAAAAAGAAACTAAAATTGACTCTAACTCTCATAGCCTGATAATTCTTATTGACATTAAAACAAAACAACAAAAAATTTCAGTTATAAAATTCAAACAGAACCAAATGAAAATTTTCTTATGTTGCCTCCCAGGGGGGAAAAAAGTATGCATATCCCAATGTAGATACCTTCATCTCTATATACTTAAAATTATTACACAAAAGTGATTATTTTCTTTTTTTACCTTACTTTTTAAAGTACATATTTTGAACATCAGCATACATTAACATATGGGTCTCCAACTTACTCTGGAATTGGGATCTAATTTGATTTGTTGTCTCCCACTGATATACCCTATCATGGTTATTGTCTTTTGCAGTTAATATTCAGTGCTGTGGTGAACTTCCTTGTTCATATTTCTGGGTGAACTTTTGAAAAATTATATCCACAGGAAAAATTTCTATGGATTGCTAAGTCAAAAGTTACATGCACTGAAATTCAGATAGAATGTGTCAGATTGTCTTGGATTATATTTCATTTGCCAAAGAAAAATGTTGAAATGGGCGGTGCTGTGTACCTTCTCTATGGTTTTGTGTGTGAACTGCTCCCCAATGCATGCTCATTCCACAGCCTGTCACTCTGTAACTGGAATGGTATGAGCCCAGGTGACAGCTGAGGGCTCTCTCCATCTCTAACAACCCCTCTTCTGGCCAGCAGGTTGATGGGAGTGCCCCAATGGGGAAGGAGTTCATGACAACCACCCCCTCCATCACTACGGAGACCATATCCACCACTATGGTAAGTGGAACCCAGGAGGCATTCTTATGACCAGCCCCCTCACCCCACAAAATAGCCAGATAAGTGAATGATGCCCAGGCTGTTTCAGGAAGCTCGAAGCTGCCCTGTCCCCATTGGAGTGAGACATACAATCATTTACTGTCTGGAACCTAGGTTGCCCCAGGACATACTATCAGACCTCAGTTTTCCAAACTGAATGATGTGGGAGGTGGAATCCCTGAGTCTGTTATCCGGGCCATCTCAGCTGTGCAGGGGAAGAGGAAGGATGGTACTTTTTGATTCTTAGCATGCAAGAATCTTATCTCCAGATTCTGCTGGCGAATCTCACCTCCAGGCTGAGAGCCCTTCACCAGGGCCCACATTGGAGGCTACTCCTGTCTCAGGCCACTTCCTCACCATGGTCAGTAGATGGCAGCAATGAACCTTAGTTTGTAAACTCAAGATTTTGGACACCTTCCAAGAAACCTTAGGGTTCTGCTACCTATTTACTGTCTGATTCATGAAGGAAGGTCCTTGGCCACAGGTGTCCTCATCTATAAAATGGGAATACTCCCCATTCTGCCTCGTTCATAGGCTCTTTTTTTAAGTATTTTTTTTTAGTTGTTGATGGACCTTTATTTTATTCATTTATTTATATGTGGTGCTGAGAATAGGACCCAGTGCCTCATACATGTGAGGCAATGCTCTACCACTGAGCCACAACCGCAGCCCCTCAAAGGTTCTTTTAAAAACTTTCTTTAATATATAACTTTCAGTTGTAAATGGACACAATACCTTTATTTTATTTGCTTATTTGTTTATTTTTTTAATGTGGTTCTGAGGATCGAACCCAGCCTCACATGTGCTAGGCAAGTGCTCTACCACTGAGCCACAATCCCAGCCCCTGGTTCATAGGTTCTTAAGAGACTTCAGAGCCTTTAATAATGAAATAGAATAAATAGCCTTCAGCACACCAGTTATGGTGTCAGGCAATAAGCTGAGAACTTTGAATAGATTATGAAACCAAAGCGGATGTTCTCTTTTACATCCTTTACAGATGAGGAAACTGAAGTTCAGAGAGGTAAAGTGACTTACCCAAGGTCACACACAATAAGTAACAGTGCCAGGTTAAGCCCAGGCATCCTGACACCAGAAGCCCCCCTTTCAACATCAACCACTCTGCTCTGCTCCCTTATCCTGCTTTTGGGCACTTCGGCTGCATGGGGCTGGGGCTGGGGCTGAGGCTGTGGGTAGACGAGGTAACAAGTGCCTGATCCAGGTATGTCATGAGCTACTGAGAGTTGTGGTCAGATACTTTCTCTTGCCAAACCCCTGATACACACATGAAATGAGAATTCCATTGATTTAGACTGCTCCAAAGGTAGGTTTTGAATAAATAAAAATTTTAGGATCAATAAATCCAAACCAGTTACCTGCCTGCTTACTTTTCCCTGGTCACTCGGTTCCTCCGCTCCGCCTAACCCTTCACCATGCAGCATTAGGATGCTTGTAGGGCTAAATTTAAATTCTACCTTAGGTGAGTGGACAGTTACAGCATTCATTTACTCATCCATCCATCTGTCCATTCATTTGTTCCAAAAGCATCATTAGGTCTCTATGATCTACCTGATGGGAATACAGAATCAAAGAAAATACACTGCCTGCTAGGATTCATTTGTTCAGTCATCATCATGAGCATCTGTAATGTACTGTGCCCCTGTATGTAGGTCCTGGGCACACAGTGGTGAACAAGGTCCAACTCTCCCTCTTCCTGGCTGGATGACCTTGGGCAAGTCACCTGAACCTCTCTAAACCTCAGTTTTCCCCTTCTATAAAATGGGGTAGGGGCAATAACAGCACATATCTCAAAGGGCTCATGTGAAGATGAAAGTAATCTGTGTGAAGCCCTGAGAACAATGCTCTGCACACAGTAAGTGGTCTGTAGATGTGAGCTGCTGCTATTTCTTTCCTTCCCTCATGGAACAGCTAGCCTAGGGACCACTGGGAGGATAACTCTGGGTGACACCTCTGGCAGCAGGAGCTGGGGAAGGCATTATCTGGTCAGGGACAGCTGAGCTGTGCATGAAAGATAGATTAAGGTATGGTCACAGCAGAAGCCGTTCTAGGCAGCAGACAGAGTAGGGGTAATGGTGGGTATCTGAAGGAGAAGGCAGTGGTCAGTGAAGTCAGATGTCAAGTGTATGAGGAGCTGGGGGAGTCTGAGGTGCCTACGGGACATTTCCAGGGGAGAGTCCAGGAGACGATTGGCCTTGAAGGCCTAGAGCTGGAGAAAGATCTGGTCTACAGGTTAGGGGGAGGAGAGGCTGGAAAGAGGGCTGGGCCAGAACCTTCAGGGCCTCCAACATCATGTATGAAGTCCAAACTTCATCCCAGAGACAATAGGGAATCACTTAAATTTTTTAAGTAGGTGCATGATATCATCAGTTATGTGTTTTGTTAGGAAATGAGCCACTGTGTGGAGTGTGGACTGTAGCAAAAATTCCTCCCTCCCCTTCCCTCCTCCCTCCTTCCTGCTTCTTTCCTTCCTTCAATAAATATTTTTTGAACACCTAGGACATGTAAAGTACTATGCCAAGCACTGAATCCAGCCCTGGAGAGGACAGTGTCCCGAGCTCTGAGGCTCATACTGGGAGAGACAGAAAGACAAGTCAGGGGATGGGCATAGGAGCCCGTATCCAGAGGGGCCTGGCTGGAGCTTGAGGAGGTGGATGTAGAGGAGGTCCCTGGTTAGGGAGGTCTGGAAGGAAGCAAATACAGGATTCAGTCATCGGTAGAAGATTCCCGTGACAGGAGGAAGGAAGGAGTGGGGATCTTGTTCACTGGCCAGTGGTTCTCACAGTGTGGTCCCAGGCACCTACAAGAAAGGCAGATTCTCAGGCCTGCTCTAGACCTCTTGACTCAGAAACTCTGGGGCAGGGGCAGCGATCTGTGTTTTCATAAGCTCGCCAGTAATGCCCATCAAGTGCGAGAACCACTGATCTAAGCAGCATGAGAGGAGGGTGCTCTCTGTGTGTTGGGGTGAGGAGGCAGCCAGTTCCATTTTGGGATCCTATGAGTCTGAGGTGCCTACGGGACATTTCCAGGGGAGAGTCCAGGAGACGATTGGCCTTGAAGGCCTAGAGCTGGAGAAAGATCCGGTCTACAGGTTAAAATGGGGATTTGGGTTTTTGGGTTTTTTTGTTTTGTTTTTTTAATATTTTTAGTTGCAGATGGACACAATGCTTTATTTTGTTTATTTAGTTTTATATGATGGTGGGGATCAAACCCAGAACCTCACACATGCTAGGCAAGTGCTCTACCACTGAGCTACAACCCCAGCCCGGGATTTGGGTTTTGATGAGGCAGAAGAAGTCCCTAAGGTTGAGGGCGGCCTGTGAAGAGAGCCCTGAGTGTGAAGGCGGGACTGCCTTGGCCAGGGAGAGGACCACTCCTCCTTGAGGATACAGGAGGTGCAGGGAGGAGGGAGGCTGCCTTTGTTTTGAACAACTTGGTCCCATTGAGTGTTTTCGGTGTGAAGATAGAGGAGTGGCTTGACCCCAGGAAAGGGAAAGAGGATGCCGTGAGAGAATAAGCAGCTCCTTCACAGCATGGTCCTGATTAAAAGGGCTGGTGGCTGTTCTCTAAGCCAGAGGAAGGATATGAGCCCAGAAGCTACCCTCACACTCGGGGATCCCAGGTGCTTCTGAGAAAGTGCCTTGTGATGGTGTGCCAAGTGACCAGGTCACCGACAGCCTCTGCTCGAGGCAGGTAGAGAGGAGGCAAGGAAAAGGCAGAGGGTTTCTGTTCTGTGCTGTCCCTTGGCAGGCAGGCAGGCAGGCAGAGGTCCAGGCCAGTTCCATGCACAGAGCAGGACCAGGGGTCAGTCAGTTGAGAAACTGCAGAATTGGTGGTTCTGGGCTCCTGGATAGACCAGGCTGAGCCTTGGGATGGTACAGAAGTGGGAGGTAGCAAAGAGCTGGGCCTCTGATATGGAGCAGTAAGTCCAGGAATGATTCCAGGAGGACCTCGTGGTTAGATCTCAAGGTAGGACCAGGAGAATGGGCCTGAGAATGAAAGTCCCAAGGGCAGAGTGGTGGCATAGAACATAAGCACCTGTCAGACTTGGGGTCTTCCTCACGTGGGGTGAGCTTCTGGCTGTTCCACTAACTTGCTGGGGGACTTGAACAAGCCACTTAACATGCTTTTGCCCTCCTGTTTCTCATCTGCAAATCAGGAATATTAAAAATGATTTCCTACAGTTGTGAGGATTAAATGAGGTCATGCATGTACTAGCCTCTGATGCCTAGCACATAGCAAGTACCCAGAAAGCAGTAGATATGATATTAATCACCAACCTACATGTCTATATTTCTCCTACAGATTTTAGTTTGTGAAATCCTTTCCCCTCTGTTAGCTTCATGAGGTCTCCATGGGAATGAGCATGGGTCCCTTTTTACAGATGAATCCATGAGACCCAGAGGGAGGAAGTGGCTCTGCCCCAAGTCACATGGCTAGAATGTGGCAAGGACAGGACAAGAACCCGAGTGTCCCAATTTCTCTGTTAGTGCTTCCAGAGATCAGTACTGTGTCTTGTTCACCACAGTGTCCCTCACACCAGGCACTCAGTAAATGTTCGTTGAATGAGTGTGTGGGTGTGCACGTGTGTGTGAATGAGGGAGTGAGATCTGAATGATGCCTTCAGTTCTCTACTTCTAAGTTACTACTCAGCCTTGTGGCCATGAGAGCCATGTGGTCACGTGCCCCGGCCATCCTGGGGCCTACATACCTGAGACCTAGCCATCTGAGCACCATTGTTTCCCCAGGAGAACAGTCTCAAGTCCGGGAAGGGGGCAGCTGCCATGATTCCAGGCCCACAGACGGTGGCCACGGAAATCCGTTCTCTTTCTCCGGTAAGTGGGCAGTGCCAGCTCAGGCTAGGGGACTCCAAGCTGAAGACATGGGCATGGCCCCCCTTGTGGCCTGCAGAAAGTGCAGGTTGGGCCCAAAAGGTGCCCTTTTAAGTGCAGAGCCAGGAAACTAGATCACTTTCAAATGCCCATAGGCTCCATGGTGCCCAGTAGAGTCTCTGTAGTTTCCCTCCCATCCCTGTTGCGCTCACACAGGGCACCGGCCGTGTGGGGTGCAGCCCTTACCTGTTGTGCCTGCCCTCCTTGCCCACTAGGAAGAGCAATGAACTAGGAGTCCAGAGTTTGGATTCTAGGCCTGGCTCTGCTGTGGCTGCCCCACCTTTGACCCTGAGTCTGTCACTCTGAGGTCTTTTCCAGCTCTTTGCTTCTCTGAGTCTGTTTTCATCCTCTAGCCCCTGGTTGCGACAGGATGGGGGATCAGGAGGGCTCCATCTCCACCTTGGATGCCTCGGTTCATCCTTCTAAGATGCCAGGAATCTCAGATTCCGGGTGTTATTAGGATTCTGGGCCTCAGGAATCTCAGGCTCTAGGAATCTCAGATTCCCAGGTTTGAGAGTTTTATGGGTCTAGGATTTTGATGATTTCGGGATTCTTGGATTCTTAATGGTTCAAAGTATCTTGGCTTCCAGCCTTCACCTTCACAGGGCCCCTGCTTGTACCTGGATTCCCCCATCCCGCCCGCCCCTGCAGAGCCCAGTGTCCTGACCTGCTGCCCGGGGTGGGGGTGGTTATATTCTGCAGATCATCGGGAAAGATGTCCTCACCAGCACCTACGGCGCCACCGCGGAAACCCTCTCAACCTCCACCACCACCCATGTTACCAAAGTGAGTAGCAGCAGGTGCCCGGGCCCCAGAAGGCTGCAGGCGGGAAGGTCACTACCGTGGCTCAGCTTTGGCTTCTCAGTCTGTAAGGTGGACAAAGGAGACCTGTGGCGCTGCCATTTTCTAGAGTCTGTGCGCATTGCCCTGAGCTACTGTTGTCCTACGCCCGGGCCCTGCACTCACAACCTTGACAGCCAGTCTAGGGGATGAGACCCTCTCCTTCAAAGTAACTGTGAATTATGGCATTTGCCTTAAGTGCTGGAAGAATTTAGAGGAGGTACCATGAGGGTGGCTCCCCAAGAGTCAGAAAGCATCTCCTGGGAAAAATGTTTTGAGCAGGGCCTGGGGTTTCAGACAGGACCCCTGAAGGAGGTGAAGACAGTGGCAGGTGCTCTAAGCAAAGTAGAAGATGAAGCCGAAACTGCGTGTTTGCTTCCTTGTTCATTGAGCCAGTGCTACCGAGCATCGACCTCACGCTGGCCTCTGTGCCTGGGGCTGCCGGAGGTGGCATAAGTGGGGCGTGTCTGTGGGAAATGGGGAGCAGCATGTAGAGAATGGAACAGGAAAATTAGGCTGGCTGGGGGCAGGGGAACATAGAACAGAGCAAATAAGACAGGTACCAGGAAGCACCTAACTATGGGAGGTCTGAGTCTAAGGGAAATTAGAAAACCATGGAAGTTTTCAAACTGAGCAGTGGCCGAGTGAAAACAAGCTTCAGAGAGGACCTTAGGTCCGCCAGGAGGTGCAGATGGATGGAAAAAAGAAGGAGAGTTATGAAGACAGCTTGAAAAAACAAACAACAATAAAACCAAAGGCTTGGGGGCTAGGGCCTGGACCAGGTGGAAGTTGGAGCTGGGAGGAGGAAAGGCCAGAGGAGGGAAGCATTCCTGGAGGTAGCAGTCATGAAGCAGCCAATGAGGACAACAGATTGGGGGAGTGGAGCAGGTGGCCACACAACCACATCTGAGTTGTCAGGAGGGAGACAGGAGAGGGCCCATTCAGGGCTGCAAGCCTGGAGGCGCCAGGCTGAGCCTGGGGGTTGTGACTGAGGTCCTGCAGAGCCATCCAGTAAGTCTGATGAGTAGCACTGACCCTTTGTGAACACGACTCTGTCCCTGCCTGCTCCCACGCAGGACTTAGTACTTTGTCATGTTTCCCAGAAAGAATCGTTGCACCAAAAGCTTTAGTGAGCAGCGTCAATGACTCTTCAAGCCTTATGGGAAGGGCTTACATCACACACCCCACAGCATACAGTCCCTCTTGGCCGTGCCACTTGGGAGCTCCCTCTTTCTGTCCCACCCCCCTAACTCCAGCTGGGATTTCCCCCAGCCATACCCTCCTTAAATATGCCAAACAGTTAGGTCCTGCCCTTCTTCTAAACTTGCTTCCAGACCCCAGCAAACAGTGGAGGTAAAAAGTATCATAGTACAATCTTTTCTTGTAGTATTGTTCAAAGTCATTTAAGGTAGAACCTTGTCACCATTCACATTTCATTCATGTGTTCATTCAACAAACCTACATTCGGCACCGCCCTGGTCAGATTGGGCAAGGGAGTTGGGGAGGAGGGGGTACAGATATAAACAAACTACGGGCCCTGCCCTCAAAAGCCTGCAGCCTGGTGAGGAGCAAGCCCATAAAACCAGCACAGGCAGAGAGGCCCAGAGCCAGAGAGATAGACTTAGCTCCCCCAGGAGTAGTGGGACAGGACAATCTTGAGGCACTGCCAACCAGGATGAGGGAGGCAGCTTCTGAGCGAGGCTTGGAACAGTGTGGTAGTTGGGGAGTGGTGGCAACCAGGCGAGATCTGCTGTCTGAATTCCCAGAACTAGAAAAGGAAAATGCTGAGGAAGCCAGGAGAGAAGGGCACACTGCTGGTATCTTGCCCTTAAGAGATGCTTTGGGTAGGTTTCCAGTCGTGGCCTGCTGCCCCAGCAGACTCAAAAGAGACCTCACCTCGCTTTTCCTTTCCTTCTTCGTTTCCCTTGTAGACTGTGAAGGGAGGATTTTCTGAGACAAGGATTGAGAAGCGAATCATCATTACTGGGGATGAAGATGTGGACCAAGACCAGGTATGGGGACAGGGGATGTCATTTCTGGCAGCACTGCCCAGTCCCTCCTATAGTGGGTGACCCATGGACGGCCACTGTTTTGGGCAGGGAAAGTATCTACTTCTTGCTGACCCTTTCAGAGAAGGAGCCCACAAGGAAGAGTCATTGAATAGGAGACAGAAGGGGCCAGAAGATCGGAGCTGTAGTCTATCTAAGCATTTCACTCTGCCCCCCCACCCCCATTTCCCCAGCTGTGCACTAAGAAGCTTGTGTTCTCCAGCTTCCCTCCTCTCACTAGTCCATGGCGCCTCACTGTGTTATTCTACCCACCAGGCCCTGGCTTTGGCCATCAAGGAAGCCAAGCTACAGCATCCTGACATGCTGGTAACCAAAGCTGTCGTATACAGAGAGACAGACCCATCCCCCGAGGAGAGAGACAAGAAGCCACAGGTAAGGCTCCAAAGTACAGTGGCTGCCAGAGGAGGAGGTAGCAGTAGCAAGATCCTCAGGTGGTCATTTCAAGCCCAAGTGGCTTGATCCCTAGTGCCGCTTTGACCCCTCACCTGCCTGATTTGCAGGTCAAAGAGACGGGCAGCTCCCCCAAATGGGAGTCAGAGGAAGGAGGGGATGGAGTATTCTCGATTCCTTCTTTTGGGGTTCCAGGCCTCAAACCCAGAACAGTAAATCCAGAAGTGGTAAGAAAAGGGCACAGAGGAGTGACACTTGGGATTGTGGGGATCAGAGGGAGGTTCACATGACCTCACTAGACACTACCTATAAGCTGGAATCAGAAAAAGTCCTACCAGGCCTAGTGTCACATTCCTGTCCTCGAGTCTCTGTCTCCATCAGAGGTCACTGGATGTTGCTAAGGGGACATGATACCCAAAGTCCTTGATCCCATCTGTCTTTCGGGACTGCAAAGCCTTGACTTCACAGGCTTCCTGAGATCATAATCTTACAGCCCCCCAATGTCTTCCTGTTTCTTTGTGGGCCCTCAGTGCCTTGGAATAAGAGAAATGAGATGGTATTAGGGAACATAAGGCCTCCAGCAGCCTAAACTGGGAGTGATGTTTTTCTGGCACCTCTTGAAGCTTACCACATTTTATCAGACCTATAAAACAAAATCTCACAAATATTGAGTTGCATGAAATAAGGCAGACACAGCAAGTACATGTCATGATTCTATTTATTGGAAGTTCAAAAACAGGCAAAACTTTGATCCCAATGATGGTAAAATTCAGAATGGTGTTACTTCTAGGATGCAGTAGTTACAGTAAAGAGGTGCAGGGGAACCTTCTGGGTGCTAGGAACGTATCTCCTACTGGTTACATGGGAGCATACACATAAAAATTTGTCACAATCTTATTGACACTTGGTTTGTGCACTTTATACATTTTTACACAATGAAAAAAAATCTATGTCAAAGATCCCATAAATAACAGGTGGTCTCCTTTTTTGACCTTTTCCCTAAATAAATGAAACTAGCATTTTCTAGAAAGATATAAGAATCTTTCTCTTCCTTTGATTACCAGCTCCTTAATGTCAGAAGAAGAAGTACTTAAACATTTTTCTGCTACATTGAAAGGCTGTTAACCTTTGGTCTAGAGCAGACTTGTCAATAGAACTCTTTCTACAATAATTTCTGTGCTATTTAATAGGGTAGCCACTAGCCAAATATGGATGTTGAGCACTTGAAATTGGCTAATCCAAAATATATTGTTCTTTTTTTTTTAAGTTGTAAATGAACACAATAACTTTATTTATTTATTTATTTTAATGTGGTGCTGAGGATTGAACGCAGTGCCTCACACATGCTAGGCAAGTGCTCTACCACTGAGCAACAATCCCAGCCCCCCAAAAGTGATCTTCTTTAAGTGTGAATAAATGTAGGAGTTTGAATATTTAATGTGAAAAAAAATGTAAACTATCTCAATAATTTTTACAGAAATTGTAATGGATATATTGGGTTAAGTTTTATGTATCTCTCTCTCTCTCTCTCTCTCTCTCTCAGACACACACACACACACACATACACACACACACACACACACACTGAGGGGGAGAGAGATCTTTTATTTTGTTTTTCTATGTTTTGATGGTGCTGGGGATCAAACCCAGGGCCTTGCACATGCTAGACCAGTACTCTACCACTGAGCTACACCTCCAGCCCCCAAAATATATTATTAAAATGAATTTCACCTGTTTCTTTCTATCATTGTTTAATGTAAGTTAAAATTAAAATTTTTATTTTGGAATTAAAGTGTTCTATTTACCTAGAAAAGTTTAGAAAAATTAATAAATATCATCTAGAAAAGGTCCTGTGTAGAAAATCTTTTATACAAGTCATTGTCACTCTTGTCCTCTCTGTTGTCTAGTAATTCTTACTTTCTCTCCTCAAATCTCAGAGTGGCAGAGGATAGGTCACTTCCCAAGCTGGTGCAGAACTGGCTGCCTCACCTGGGAACCTTGTTTAATATACAAGTACTGGAGAACCCTCTGAGTTGGAGAGGCTGGAGGGGACCTGGGTACTGGAGTGCCTGGGAATCCTAGGGAGGCCCTGTGCAGTCAGGTGTAGGAGCCACTAATGCTAAGAGCTCTGTACGGGAATCCAGGGACCAACTCTAGCCATTCCCCTGACCAGCGTGTGACCATGGGTCAGTTTTTTTTTTTTCCTTGTGGGGGACTCAGGGTCCTCATTTTCAGAGTGAAGAGGTAGAGCAAGCCCCCTTCTGGTTGTGTTCTTCTGGCTGTTGTGTGACCCTGGGGGTCCCTTGTGTGTTGCTCATCTCTTCTTCATTCTCTTTCATTCCTCATCTTTCCCTGGGGATTCCCAGCCAGCCCCCGCCCCCAGGCTCCGGCCTTCCCCTTTCTCTGGCCTTTCAGGGTTCTTGTCCCAGCCTCCACATCTGGCCTATTCCACCACCTTGGAGTCTCTTACATCTGCCCCCTCACTGCTCCTAAGCTGTCTCATTCCCTCCTCTTCTGTTCTTTCTTGATGTTTCTGCCCCCACATACCACCATTCATATTCATGCTCTCCCCCTCCCTCCCTCCATCCTTCCTGGGGATCGTTCTGTAAAGGTCACCTTGTTTATGTTGTCCTGGAGAGCCAGTTTTCCCCTTGCCTTTTCCACCCCATGCTTTACCACGACTTATTGTCAAGGAGCCACCCCTGATTCTTAGGAGAGTAATGCCCACTCGTTCTAGGGGGTGATCTTTCCTGAATTAGAAACTCTTCCTGAAGGTGCTTCAAAATCATTGTTGTAGTGGATAGATATATCTTGTTACCCCAAAGAAAAGCCCTGCAGTCCTACAGGCCTGATTCTAATCACAAGCCCTGCTCTTTATTGTCTATATAACCTTGAGCAAATAATTCTTTCTTCTTAGACTGTGTTTCCTCATCAGCCAAACAGCAATGACAATCATAGTAATAACTAAAAATTGCTATCACTTATGGAGTGCTTATACTGACCCAGGCACCAAGCTCTTTGCTGATATAAGTACTATTGTCTGCTAATTCATTTTACAGATGAAGAAACTGAGGCTCAGAGACATTAGGTGGCTTGTTCACAATCAGGGAGCAGGGAACATGATGGATTGATTAGGCTAAGCCTAATCTGTTAGACTCCATATCTACCCTATGGTCTTAGCCTCCTCATCACACTGACTTTCTGTAGTCTCTTTCTCACAGGGTTACAGAGATCATACATAGGTGGTACTTAGCATAGTGCCCAATAGAAGTTCATTATGATCATCATTACCATTAACTGAAAGTAGGCTAACAAACGTTGCACATAGGTACTCTGCTGTAATACACCTAGAAGAATAAATTGTAATATAGTAGTGTTTAGATGCCCTGGTGCTTCTGAATTGCCTGTGGTCTTTTGAGGACATCTTACATATCCATTAGCTTGATTACACTGACTTATAGAGCAATCATTAATCAATGAGCAAGCTTAAAGTGTAGCCTGCTGATCTAAGAAACAACAAACAAACAAATAAACAAAAACCTAGTTAGGAATCGAATAGAAAGAATATGCTCAGGTTTTGGAGCCAAAAATACCTTGAGAGCTGTGTGCCCACTGGAACCTCTCTGGGCCTCAGTTTCCTCACTGGTCCAATGGTGTTCATTTATAAATAGGAGCTGCTGAAATAATTCAACAGCATCTTTGACATATAGGGATGGCATCTTGCAGGAAGAATGTGCTCAGTAGGGAAAACCTGCTTTCTTGTCCCTGTGAGATCTTGCTGTGTTTAGGGGACCAGGAGAGCCCTAATAAGTCAGACCGTAGACTTTCACCACCAGCCTGAGACCCTGTTCCCACAAGGGTGTTCATCTTGCTGGTCTTCCTCTTCTCTTTCCTGATTCTTCCCAAAACATCTGTCTCTGCTCCAGTTGGATCTTGGTCTTCCATCTTAAACTTCCTCCTTGAAGTTCTTGCTGTGAGTGTGAAAAACACATCCATGTCACACGGAGTCCTCACCTTCTCTCCTGCAACCTCACAGACCAGATGTGTGGTTTCTGCTCCATCTTCTCCCTCTGGCCCACTTCCTTCAGAAAGCACCTGTCTTCCAAACTCTGCCAGCAAGGGGGTGGCACTCACCCAGCTCCTAAAGCTGCCATGCCTTCAAAAATTTAACTACATGGGGGAAAACTGACCTGTTCTAAAACAGGAACCAACTTGCTAAAACATTGACTTCCTCTGGGCCTCAGTTTTCCCATCTGTCAAGAAGGATCCAAGCAAGATCTTGGATGAACAAGAAGGATCCCTTTTTGGCAACTTCTTTAGCACTTGACCATCTATAAGTGGCAAAGGCAGGGATGATATTCCATGTGCTAAATGGTTTTGAGTCATTGCCACATGGCAGGTACAGTGTTGGGCATTGGTGCCCTTGCCCTTCAGGAGATCAGGGCAATAGTAATAACAAGAACAGCTGCTATATATTCAGTACTGACCATGTGCTAGGTCCTTGATGAGACTCCTCTTTATAACTGTGTGGGGTGGGACCCATTGTATAGAAGCGACTAAGGCTTAAAGAAGTTAAGAAATGCACCCATGATTTCAGGGACTTGAGAGGTTGAGGCAGGAAGATCACAAGTTCAAGGCCAGCCTCAGTAACTTAGTGAAACCTGTCTCAAAAATAAATAAATAAAAGGGCTGGGGATATAGCTCAGTGGTAGAGTACCCGCAGGATCAATTCCCAGTACCACAAAAAAATACAAATAAAAAGTAAACACTGTAGTCTAGGGTTTAATTTCCAGGGCACAACAGACTCATGGAGAACAAAAGAGAAAAACAAAAAAAGACGGAATATCTGTAATCATAACTAAATATTTCATAGAACTGAGTCAAGATAGGAAGAAAAAGTAAAATGACTGTGATCTTAGCTCCCCATTGTTAAAGGACATCTTAACAAATTTTCAGGCCAAAGTAAAAAATGTGTCTCCCGGGAAGCAAGTCGGTGAACACACATGGACTCTGGAGTCAGGCGAATGTGGGTCAGTTCCCAGTGGCCACACACAAGCTGTGTGGCCTTGCACAAGCCACTCTACCTTTCTGAGTCAAAGCAAAGGGCACGTGGTAAAGGGTAGCTAAAGTAACTTCTTGCCTTGTATTTATAGGTGAGTGACAAAAGTTACTAAATTTCCTTGTCCTCCTCTTTTTTCTTTGTGCCCCCCTGCCTCTGGCTGCCAGGAATCCTGACCTCCGTGAAGGGGTGCTGGCATGTCTGGTCCAACCCACGCCAGAAAACCATTAAGAAGGGGCCTTCAATCTGGATTCTCCGACACCAACACTCATGTCCCAGCTGCAACGTACTGTCACTGATGAGAGACTGGGAAGGGAAAGCATATATATATAGATATATATAGATATAGATATATATACAGGAAACACCGCGTCCTTGCACTGCTGCTGGGGCTGGCGGAGCAGTCGGCCGACAGCAACAACCAACATCTGCCACAACCTACATTTCCTTTGCAGACAAATTGAATAATTGGTGGGATTTTTCAGGAAAAAAAAATGACAACAACCATAATCCCTTCCTCTCCATGTTCTGCAAACCGCAAAAGCAAGCCAGACCACGATGATTGTAGAAGTTCCATTCAACCCTGGTTGTGCACAGTCCAGTTCGTGGACAAGCGTTCCATTTGTTCTTCTCCATCATCTGTTGCCCCCTCAAATGCAAAGGAAAACAGTCACGCAGCCAAGCAAGAGAAGTCGCAGCAGCAAGTCACACACAGGCAACCATTCTCCAAGAAGGAAAGAAAGAAAATCTCCCACTTGGAAAAGAGGAGCAGGAACACTGGATTATTGTTTTCTGGGTCTTGACACTGGGCTGCAAAATCCACCTTCTTTTCTTCCGCCTCCCCTCATCCTCAACTCTCACACGTCTTGTCGTCATTTTTTTTGTCTCGGCTCCCTCCTGCCCCTATCCTGCCCCATCTCCCCCTCTGTGTCCTGGTCCTGCTGAGGGCCACTGCAGATGACTCTCATTTGAAACAAGAAAAAGAAAAGAAGAGAAAGCAAGAACAGAAAATGAAGCCGCGGGAAGGGAAGTAGACATTGTATGTTTCTGGTTTCTCTTGATGAAGGTGCAGCTCGTAGGAGATTTGTATGGATGTGCTTTTAAGTTATGTATATTACATATAACAGGAAACAAATATTAAAATAAACAGTGATGGTAAGTATGAAGCTGACATTTTAAAATTATAATTATCTGACTGTGATTGATGTATCCCAAGGTCCCTAGATCTTGCTGAACTAGCCCAGCTGAGGAGACCTGGACTTTGGGTGCAGCGGCTCCCAGTTGGGGCTGATGGGTTCAGTGTAGTATACTGTGTGTGGTGTTTGTAATTGGGTGATTGGTGGGGAGAGTGGGGCCCCCAGTGGAGACATGGGGGCTCACCAAGAAGGAAATAACAGAGGCCTGAATATGCCGGTCCAAGATGCCTTCTCCCCCCAGCAGTAGCAGCCGGGACCTGCTCTGTGCTCAGATCCAGTGTCCAGAGTTGGGACTCTGCTGCTGAGGTCCCCACAGTAGAGGTCCCCTAGCTCAGTCCTCCTACCTCCCTAGGGGGCTTGCCTTGATTTTCAGTCCTCTCTTTGTTTTATTATTATGATTTTTTTTTTTTTTTTTTTTTTTTGCCATGTCTTGCCCTTCCCTGATGACTAGCTCCACACCGGAAGGGAGGTGGTGCCCCTGGCCAAAGTAGAAGATGGTGGCTCTAACCTGGCTCCATGAAATGCCCAGCTCAGTCTTCTCCTCTTCTCCTTTCATATTCTGAGTCATTCTCTTTTTCCTGGGCCAAAGTAGCCATGATGAAAAGGCCATGAACACAGGACAGACCCCAATAGGTCAAAACTGCATTTCCAAAGGCCTCCCCTACTCCTAACAATGGAGAGCAAAGGGCAGTGTTGTCCAAAGGCTCCGCCTCTGTGTAAGATCCTGACCCAGGAGACCTCCTGCTCAGTCTGCATCTGAGCTCTGAGCCTTTGCCCTGGAAGTCCCAGCAATTGTCTTGAGACCACAGAAGCCCTTGGATAAGCCCTGTTACAAGCTTGGCATTGCCCCCTGGCACACATGAGCTCCCTCAGGCTTGCCTGCTCAGGGAGAATCTCCTTCTGAGAGAAAATGTCTCACAGCACTTTAATTTCTCAGCCTTGCTTCTAAAGTGGTCAATAAATTCATACAACAAATATTTATTGAGTACCCATTTGTGCCAGGCACTGTTCTCAGGAGGAAGGAGAAAGCGTGAAGGAGAGGAGAGATCTGGAAAATCACCTTGACCAGGCTTATGTCCGCAGCCGTGCCTGGCCCATCTGAGAGCCTTTTCCCAACTCATACCTAGGGATGTCCTCCAGAGGGCCCAGCATAGATGTACCCCACTTGGCTTCTCAGTTAACCCTATAAGGTATACCTTAGTAATTTAACTGGTGCGGACCTAAAGTAGAACAAGAAACTAGAATATCTTTTGTCTCTGTGGGCAAATGGGAAGTAGAGCAAATCTCTCAGATTGCAGGGTTGACCATGTCCCCCACTGCTGCCTGGTGCAGGCCAGTGGATCCACTGAACTCCCTCTAAGTGCAGCAGCACACTCTATCTACCAGGATTTGTAGAGAAGCCACAGAACTTTCTTCCTGTCCTTCTCAACCTGAGAATTCCCACTCTTCCTGGGCCAAGAGCTGGAATGGCTCCATCCTCTCAGAGCCACTAGGATTTTGGCTCAGGCCCCACCGTCTGCAAGAACCAGGCATCATGAGCACACTGGATACACCTCAAAGGGAGGATATTTGTTCTGTGTTTTGCACCTGCCTACAGACACTGGGCTTCAGGGTGGGGATGAAGTGACTGGGCTTAGCTTGTGAGCCATCAGGATTTGGGGAGATCCCCATCCCATGGATGCTGTGACCTTCCTTCTATGGAGTAGCAAGCAGGGACACCAGGGAAAAGGGAACCTACAAAGCTGAAATCTAGGGCACTATTTCCTCCTCCTCTCCATAGAGAATAGAGACGTTTGTCTTGTCTGTCTTCAACCTATTTTTCCTTTTTTATACTTCTCATCCTTTCTGTGCTGCCTCTCCATCTGGGAGGCTGGGTAGCATAGCGGGGAAAGTCCTGGAGGGCAGTCAAGGTTCTAGGTGACCATTCTGACTCAGCCCCTGACTCACCATCTGACCTTGGGTTAGTCGCATTTCTCCTTTGGCCACTGAGCCCCACTTGTGAAATGAGCAGGGTGAACAAGATGCTCTCCAGGGTTTATTCCCACTCTGCCATCCTACCAATCTTTGTTTTCTCTTATTTTGCTTTCTCTGGATCTTTTCCATCTGAGGGTACAGAAAGTGCCAGGACCTGTTTCAGTTTTTTAATCCTGCAAGTACATTCCAAGACTGGCCTGAAATTGCATGAGCAACATCACTCTAAATAATTTTTTTTTCCAAAGCACCTTACCAACCAACTGCGATGCTGTCCTGTTCCTTTTTACTCACACCCCTTCTCCTCTCTCGTCCCCACGCTCCCCCACCTCAGTGCTCCGTGCTGTATGCGTGTGCTCTCTGTTCTTGTATACTCAATAAAAGTGAAATAAATGTGTTTGATGCTGAATCACAGATTTCCTTGGTCTCCCTCTCTTTGACCTTGGCCACTGGTATGAGTAGGTACTATGGGAAGGACTAAAACTGGAGCGGAGATACCTCAACTTAGAATACTTGTATTTTACAAGTGTTTGGAGCTCCTGGTGTGGCCCAGGACTGGGCTTCGGTTCTGTAGGTACAACAAACGAGGCAACCTCCTTGCCATCCAGGAGCTCAGAGGCTAGTGGAAGAAACAGACAACAAAACGGGTAACCAGACCAAGACAACTGCAGATGGTTAGCACCAGCAAGGAAATACACAAGAGGGAGAGGATGGAGAGCCACTGAAGGAGGTCACTTTAAACTAGGTGGCCAGGGCTGAGTGGTAGAGTACATGTTTAGCAGGTGCGAGGTCCTTGATTTGATCCCCAACACCTCAGGGTCGGGGCATGGCAGCCAGCTGGGGCCTCCCTGAGGTGGTGATTTTTGAGCTGAATGAAGAGAAAGATCAAGTAAAATGAAGAATGTGGGTGAGAATGTTCTAGGCAGAGGAAACTGTAAGTATACATGCCCCAAGACCTGGAGGGTGTGTTATATGGAAGAACAGCATGGGGTCCCTCCTCTTCCTGAAAGAAAAGCACCTCTGCTCAGGTCTTTTCCTGCAACACCCACCTCACTGGGAGCCTAAGGAAGAGTATGTTCAGCAACCCCCAACTTCAGCTTTGCTTACAACCTCCATATATACTCCATACCCTCACACCAACTGCCCATTGTTGACTACTCTTTCCTTAAAATGACTCACTTTGGGGAAACAAACTAAACTTATTTTAAAAGGAAACTATTACTTCCATAAAAAAAATTAGTGTCACTTGCAAATAAAGGAGGTTTCCATAAAAATAAATACAAAAAAATATAAAAGTCAAAAAACATATCTGGGTAAAACTTAAACTCATTCCTTGTGCCATCTGAGGTACATATAGAACACTTTCCATTTTATTCTATCAAGTGACTCTCTACTCCACCTTTTTGTATTGTCCAAAATCTTACAGGCAAGTCTTTTTTCCATGTATATATTCTTTTTCAGAGTTTAAGTCATTTTGTGTTTACCATTCTAAATACTTTTTAAAACTTATATCCTAAGTATTTCCCTATAATTTCAAATACTAAATACGATTTTTTTCTTTGTAAAGGTAATTCATTAAATGACACAAAAGGCAATGCAGTAACAAATAATTCTTCAACATTCTCAGAATTCCTGTCCCTTGTCAAAGGCAACTGTTGCAAGAAACTTTGTGAACCCTTTTCTGAGTTTTTATAGGTTCCCTCTAATAATTTGTCACCTCTAGGGTTCTGGAACAGAACTTGGTTTGCAAGCATTGAGTCCCTACATAACTCCTAAGGACCCCACACCTTCTGGATCAGTACTTTTGTCTCCCATGGATGCAGGGCTATCTTCTCTGCTTCTTGGGAATAATCTAGAGTGCTTCAACTAGAACAGCATTTCTCAACTGAGTAAGGGGAATGATTCCTTCCCCAAGGAACATCTGGCTATGTCTGAAGACATTTTTGGTTTTCATATCCAAGGGGTGTGCTACTGGTATCTAAAAGTTAGAGCTCAGGATGTTGCTAAAATCCTACAATATGCAGGACAGCTGTGAACCTCAAAGAATTATCTGACCCCAAACGTCAACAGTGCCAAGGTTGGGAAACCTTGATTTGTATGGACATGCAACCCCACAAGGTGGGATCCCTGGGTCATCATCTGTTCAATGCCCTGGAGTTGCTGAGAAGATGGTGAACCACCTGGATTAGGAGGCTCTAAGACCAGACCACAGAGTTCAGCACCTAAGTTGGAGTGGGGAAAGAGGGAGAGAGCTGAGGTTCTATGTGCAGGAAATGGAACTGACAGAATTTATGTGCATAATTGCAAAGGCAACCTCTGATTAATCTGCAGCAGTTCACCATGATTAACTATGCCTTCAGGACCTGGCTCAGTCTGCAACCTCCTAAGAGATGACTTTTGACTTAGACAGATTGGTGTGTTGAGCTGGCACTGAGGAAGCGTGATTGACAAGCTAAGGAGGAGCAGCACAGGGACAAGAATAGCCAGGTAGATACTGGTTTGCTTCCCAGATCTGCCACTCTCTGACTGCCTAACCCTTCCCTGAACGTCAGTTTTCTCTTTTGTAGATTGGGAATACTAATACCTATTTGCTAGGTTTAGTGTAAAGATCAAAAATATCTGAGTAGCTTGCTGTACAGATTTTGGTGTTGTTTTCCTAGTCCTCACAATTGCATAAGTCAACTCCTTGCAATAAATTACCTAATATCTACCTCCTACTGGCTCTGCTTCTTTGGTGGTCAAATCCTGACTGATAACAATCACCTAGCACAGGAATATCATATTGCTGTCATTATTAATTAAATGCATACTTTATGTACCAAGATGACTTTGTGTTAACTGGGCAGCACCAGTACCTGGGAACAGGGGAAGAGAGGCTAGGCTATGATGGCTCAATCAGAAATATTCTGAATTAATTTGGTAGGAAAATAGGCTTTATTCAAAGCCAGCTTT